CCAGAATCTATAAGGAATTTAAGGAAATCACCAAACTCCACACCTGAAAAACAAGTAATCCAGTGAAGAAATGGGCAGAAGACATGAACAGACACTTCTCCAAAGAGGACATCCAGATGGCCAATAGACACATGAAATGATGCTCAGCGTCCCTCATCATCAGGGAAACACAGATCAAAACTACACTCAGATACCACCTCATGCAGGTCAGAGTGGCTAAAATAAACAAATCAGGAGACTATAAATGCTAGCGAGGATGTGGAGAAACGGCATCCTCCTAAACTGTTGTGGGAATGTAAACTGGTGCAGCTCCTCTGGAAAACAGTGTGGAGGTTCCTCAAAAGTAACAATAGAACTCCCCTATGACCCAAAAATAACACTGCTAGGAATTTACCCAAGGGATACAGAAGTGCTGATGCATAGGGACACATGTAACCCAATGTTCATAGCAGCACTCTCAACAATAGCTAAAACATGGGAAGAGCCTAAGTGTCCATCAACTGACAAGTGGATCAAGATGTGGTTTATCTATACAATGGAATACTACATGGCAATGAGAAAGAATGGAATCTGGCCATTTGTAGCAACATGGATGGAACTCGAGGGTGTTATGCTGAGCGAATTAAGCCAAGCAGAGAAAGATAGATACCATATGTTTTCACTTATAAGTGGATCAGGAGAAACTTAACAGAGGACCATGGGGGAGGAGAAGGGGAAAAAATAGTTGGGGAGAGGGAGGGAGGCAAACCATGAGAGACTCTTGAATACTGAGAACAAACTGAGGGTTGATGGGGGTGGAGAAGAGGGGAAGGGGGGTGATAGTCATGGAAGAGGGCACTTGTTGGGATGAGCACTGAATGTTATATGGAAACCAACTTAACAATAAACTATAAAAGAAAAAAAATAAACACAAAAGTGATTTTTAGTTCACCTCTGAGGTGAGATTAAGGAGAAAGTCTGCTTTCTTGCCTTCTGCTGCATACAGTAAGGACCAATGAAAAATATCTGAATTATAAACATCCTAGACAGTGAAGCCATAACCGCAGACATGTAGAAACTCCAAAGGCTGGCAAAGAGAATAGCATGGGCCAGAATCCCAGAGCATAGGGGGCTGGGGTGAGGGTAAAGACAGAGGGGACTCACCCAGCTGGATGTAGAGAATATGCGAGGTTGGCTGCTAATCTAATCCTAATGACAATGGGTACTTTTCCAATGCTCAGGGGAGATTACTTCCACACAAACATCTAGAATGGAATCCAGCAGTAGGTAGAGACTATGGTTCAAGGATGCTCCACCTGGTTGGAAGCACAGCCCTAGCCAATAGCTCAAAGAGTGTAGATTGTAAACGGAATAAGAAACACGAGATTGACAAGTTCTAGAATGGCTGTCATGCCTCAGTCAAACATCATGGGTTCCAGATCAAGTCTTGATGGGAACAGAAGTACAAATCACCAGTAAGTTTAGAAATCCAGGAAGTCAGTTTCTAGAATCCACCCACCAGAAAGGATAAAGTTCTAGCTGAGCCTTTCTCATTCAGTCACTCATTTATCCAATCCTTTGTCCATAAATGCATACTAATAACATCTACAAAACAATGCTAGACACTGTTACTAGCCTTATGGATTCAATGGGGAAAAATAAGAATGTTCCTTGCCTTACTTAAGGAGAGCTTTGCTAGAAATGTTGGGGGCATAAATAATAGTAAATATATAGGTTAAAAAAGTTTATCAAGATAAGACCTGTAGACAGTAAGTGCTAGGAAGATAAAGCTGCCTGTACCCGTGGGAAAAAATCCGTTCTAGGCCACAGACCGCCAAATTGGTGGCATGAAGAGAAATGTGTATAAATACCTTATAAAAAATAAATGGAGGAGCACCTGGTTGGCTCATCAGTTAAGCATCTGACTTTTGGTTTCGGCTCAGGTCATGATCTCACTGTTCCTGAATTCAAGCCCCATAATGGGATCGGTACTGATAGTGCATAGCTTGCTTGGGACTCTCTCTCTCTCTCCCTCTCTCTCTCTCTCTCTGGCCCTCCCCTGCCCGTGCTCACTCTCTCAAAATAAATAAATAACCTTAAAAAATTTTTTAAATAAAAAATAAATGGAGGCCCTGATGATGATGATGATGATGATGACTCATATCACTGTTTCAGGCTTTGACCAAGAGATTGAAATTACATTAGTTATGTAAACAGGAAGAAATTAATAAAAAGAGTTAATTCAGTAAAAGTCATTAATGAGGTACTAAAAAGATAAATAAAGAACTCTAGGGTATCAGAGATACAGAAACTGTAAGACATAGCTGCCATCCCTAACTTTGGAGCAACAAAGAAAATCTGGAATTATAAACAGTTTGAAGTCTAGAGGATAGACTTCATAGTGCTGAAATTCAGACTTCTGAGGAGGTGGGGATATTCAGAGGTGTGGGGAATCTGAGCTCAGAAGGAGGAGGAGTGACATGGGACTGAGTCCCATGAACAGGGTGTGTTGGCCAGCTGGTACCGGCATAAGGGCTGGCTCTATGGCTATTGGAGAAAAGCTACAAACAGGGTTCAAACTGCTGCTAACGGGACTCACTGTTGCTGCAGGGGTGAAGAAGTGTTGCTGGGGTGTTACTCATGGAAAAAGAAGGCCAAGAGAAAGTAAATAGGAAGAAAAACAGAAAACAACAGCAAAGGGGAAGGAGCATGTTCCATCTACCTCCTTCTGCTTGCAATCTCTCTGTAACACCCCCCACTGCCAGAATTTAACCAACTGACAAATCAGAAACATGACTTGTAGACACCCAGCCCAGTATCCAAAAGTAAAATATAGAACAGTGGCTTTGAAGCTGAGAGATGATAGTTTAATAACCAGTCCAATCAATCTAGGGCAAGTTCTTTGTTTTTGAGACACAGTTTGTCAAATTAGGACACTAATGTCTACCACAAGAAGATATCTTGAGAATTAGACAAAATGTATATAAAGCATTTTACATAGTGCTTAACAAAATGCATTATTTCACAATTAATAGTTTCCGCTCCTGATTCATCCTCCCAAGTACATCTGCCACCCCCAGAGCCTTCCTTAAACAACGACTCTGTAGAACTCCATGTGTGGCCTCATCTATTGCCAGAATATATCTCAGCAGGAAAAACCTATTTATAAGACCTCAACCAACAGGGAGCTCTAAGTTGGGTACCATATTTGGCTTTTATATTTTCATTTCCATTTCTCCCTGTCATCCTGAAAATCTGGCAAAAAAATAAATCATCTACATATTTCCTTGTCCTTACCACCATCAACTCAATAGGTCACCTTTCTATTAAGATACATTCAAATCACTTCAGTCTACTTCAAGAACATTTCTAGAAAGATTTCAAACTTGATTCAACACACTTCACTCTAAAGAACAGTGTTCAATACCTTGTGTCCTGAAAGGATCACATGCCCAAAAAGCAAACACAGGAATCCACTACAATTTTTCTGATGTTCTCAACCCAGCAACGGCATTCTAGGCAAAAAACCTTAAGACTAGGAAGGAGAGTTATTGAAGGTAGAGCTGATGCTTACAGAACATTTTAGAAGCAAGAGCCACCATGTCCATGAATGGCCAATAAAAACCAACTCTGACATAAATGAAAAATACAGCTCTTCCTCTATCTTGCCTGAAACCATGGGTTCTTAATAGTTCGTTCTCTTCCTGATCCAAGGCTTATGTGATTCCATATTAATTATAAGACCTTGGGAAATTTTCTTCAACCTCTAAGCCTCATTTAATTAAAACAGCATTCCTAACATTATCTCATACTTTGTTGTAGTAATTAGATAAAACAATACATGTTCAAGGCAATACAGGAAACAGGGAGTGGTTGTTAAGTGAGTACATAGTTTCAGTTTTGCAAGCTCAAAGAGTTCTGGAAATCTATTGAACAACAATGTAAACATATGAACTGTACATTTAAAATGGTTACAGTGGAGGGGGTGGGCACCTGGGTGGCTATCTGTTAAGCGTCTGACTTCGGCTTAGGTCATGTTCTCACAGTTTGTGGGTTCGAGTTCCGCATTGGGCTCTGTGCTGACAACGAGCTCAGCCTGGAGCCTGCTTCAGATTCTGTGTCTCCCTCTTTCTCTCTGACCCTCCCCTGCTCATTCTCTCTCTCTCTCAGAAATAAATAAAACATTAAAAGAAACATTAAAAAAAAAAGTTTAAATAAATAAATAAAAATTAAATGGTTACAATGGTAAATTTTATGTTCTGTGTTTTTTACCACATTTTTTAAAAAATGTTTTTTAAATTAATGTATGAATAAAAAGTTCCTATCACATGCACAGGTGTGCGCGCGCGCGCGCACACACACACACACAGAATACACATTCATCACTCATCACAATGCCTGGCACATCATAAGCATTCAAATATCTATAAGGTTCTCTCTCTTTCCCCTTTGAGCCTTTCAACAATCTCTGGACTTCAACCTCAACTGCATGAATTTCTAACTTCTACCCCTCTGAACACTGTATAGGCTTAGTTACATTCCATCCAGTGCTGTTTGTTAACAGTTCAGGTTGAGCATGCTTTATCCTGCCAAGTAGATTGTCAGCTCCTGAAGAAAGGGACCATCTTTTATATTTCTTCCATGTTCTCCTCCATGTCCAATGTAATTTTTGCATTAACTGTTGAGTGAGGGTCTACCTAAAATGAGATGACGCTCCCAGAGCCAAAACATTACAGTTATCCTTGCCTCCTCTTGGGCTTCCACTCATCATTATCAATTCACATTTATTTATTGATCTGTTAGTTTATATTAGGAAAAGTGGGCAAGAGCAATGAACAGAAAGATAGAAAACAAAAAGATAGATAAGACATGACTATTGTCCTCAAAAGTCTCATCACCTATTTTCACAGACAAAGCAAACACAATGATATTGGTAAAACTGCAAGGAAAAATGCTACATGTCCACTGAGTGTTAACAGACAATACGGGAATTCAGTAAGCCATGGAGACTTCAGGGGAAATTCAATAGGAGATTAGTTTTTTATTTGCGTGTCATCCTTGCGCAGGGGCCATGCTAATCTTCTCTGTATCGTTCCAATTTTAGTATATGTGCTGCCGAAGCGAGCACAGGAGATTAGTTTTTTAAAAACTCAAGTACTAGAGTATATATTCTTCAGAGTTAAGATGATTCTTAAGGGGTAAAAAGTCTATCTGCCTACTAACTCTAACTTTGAGATAAGATTATTATATATTTTCAGGCAAATAATAACAACAATAACAATTGCCATGTATTCCAGTACTCCAGTATTCAACATACTATCACTAATCCTAAAAGCAAGGGGTACATCATCCCTATTTATTCATATGGAAATAGTGTGAAAGAAATTAAGTTACTTGCCTATAGATGTAGAGATAGTAAGTATTGCACATGAATATATCTGTCTGATGCCAAAGCATGAATTCTTCCCACTATACAAGTCATTCAGTCATCAAACATTTATTGAGAATTTACTCTGGACAAGCATTATGCTAAAAATATTAAATTAAATAAAACAAAACATGATTTCTTCCTTCAAGGGACTCACAGACTGGTGAGAAGGAAGTTACATAAAGAGACCATCCATACAAAATGTGCTGAGTCCAAGAACAGAGATACACAAAAAGTTATGGAGCATGTAGGAAGGAAACCTAATCCATCCTGGGAAATCCTAAAAAGTTTCTTGGAGGAATAGGATTCTTTAAGTCTTAAGGAAAAAAATAAATAATAATAGCTTACATTTGTGTGCTTACTGGGCAGATACTATTATTAGCCCTGATTTACAGATGAGAAAAATGAAGCACAGAAAGGTGAGCAACTTGTCCAAGCTTCAAGAGTTTATAAGTAGGTGGCAGAACCAGGATATGAATTTGTTCTCTTATAATCTCTATAATTTGCTGCACATGAATAAGAGTCTGCCAGAAAAGTGAAGTGAAGAAGAGCAAGGGAAAGGCAAGAAACTGCACTGAATGAGACAATATAAAAAGTATAATATGGCTAGAGAGGAAATAACAAGAGAGGAAATTGGAGAATTATGGGCCAGATCACAAAAGATCTTGTGTAGCATTCTAAGGATCTTATAGTTTATCCTATAAACTATGGAGGGATATTGAAGATTTGTACATTTATAAATGATTATGTCAGCTATGTGAAGGATGGATATGGGTTAAAACTAATGGGAAATGGGTCCATTAGGAGACAGTTGTCAGTGTTGTTGTTGTTTTTGCTATTGTGGTAAAAAAAAAAAAAAACACATAACATAAATTTACCCTCCTAACAATTTTTAAGTGTACAGTACAGTAAGGAGATAGTTTTAATATTCAGCAAAGAGAGGATGAGAACCTAAACTTGGGTAGAGAGAGCAAGGTGGAAAACGTGGAAATAATGCATGTCTAGATAGCAGAAGAGGCAGAACTTGGTGATGAACTAGATATGCCTATCTTCCTACTCATCAGGCTTTCCTGTTTTAAATAATCTGTCCAGGAAAACAGAAAACATAAATGTATACATTTGTCAGTGCCGAACTGGCTAGGCATGGTGCTAGGCATAGGAGCATGAAGAATGACTAAGACACACTTCCCATCCCGAAAAGGCTTATATTCTGGAGTGGAGGTGGAGAAGAAGGAGGAGTGCAATAAAGGACTATGTGGTTATAAAAGAAACACGTACAACATTTATTGGGGATCCAAGGCCAGAGTGATTAGCCCTAACCAGGGGAGATCAGAGAAGGGCTGAAGGCGAATACACCTCAAACTGAATGTGAACAGATATTTTCCAGTGAATCACATATTACTTGAAATGAATGTTTCCCCAGTGCAAAGTGGCAGGAATACAGCAGAACAAATAGTTTCAGTGTGAAGTGAGGAGGGACAAGATAAACACGTGGACCCCTGAAGGCATTAAAAGCATAACAGGAATTTATTAGCTGCTAGTTCCTCCATTAAAATACGTAAGCACAAAAAGGCAATTGGGGTCACAGAAAGATGAAGGTAGGAAACAAAATAGTGATCTACAATAAAACTATAAGAAATGCTGTGGTTTTATACCACTATCTGTGGCCATGTCATCATGCCCCATCTAGCCCCACCTGAGGCACAGAATTGATGCTCATTATGCCTGGAGAAGCATATGAGTATATTAGAAGTCTATTAGTTCTACACTAGACTCTAGCATTTCCTATAATGATATCCTATAGGATATCATCTTGAGATTCACAGTTAGGGGTCTGTGCATCAGGCACTTCCTACTGCTCTTCTAAAGGATTTTAAATTACCTCATAATATCTTATGTTTGGAAGCCTCACTGCCTCAGTCACAAGTATTGATATTTTTAAGCGAAAGCACACTTTTTTAACCAATGTGTTTACATAGACATAATTTTTTCCTAAATGTAATGCCTAATGTCTACAAGACAATATTATTTATAAATACAAACCCTCAGACTTGAAAAAGAACACCTTTGTTTAACCTGTTTAGTATGTAACATCTACATATTACTAACACTTATACACTCAAGCATCTTCCTGGAAATGGTTATTTATTCCCTTCCAAAGTCAAATTTCTACTGCTGTCCCTAACAATCAATTTAAGAAAAAGGGAAATTCTGTTACTAAAACTGATCACAGACTTCCTAGATCATTAAACGTACTGTCTTCAATACACCAGCAGAGGCTATAAATCTAGTTCTTTGACTTTGTATAATCTCAAATTTCTTTATAATGAGGCTTAAAAGTGTTTTTCATTAAGAAAAATAAAATTATTTAGTGGAAAAATGTTTAATAAAATTATTTTAATTAGGTGTACACATTAATCATGAAATTGCACAGAATAATTATAATGACATTTCTCTACTTATTATAATGAAACTTGTAGTGAGAATGGTTAGAATATAAACAGATAAAAGAGAATATGCAAGTCAGTATTATTTGGAGCAATTTTAAAATGATTTAATAAAGATTGCATCTCCTAGGATAAAAAATTCATTATATGAAGGTGACTTACTTGGAGTTGGGAACCAAAAACTCTTAACTTTCGCCATCAGCCATGACCCATCCAATCCCCACATCAGGAAGTATCAAAATCTCTTAAGGCACTTCAATGGCTCCCAATGTTCTTAGGATAAAGTCTTGTATGCTCATAATACATGTTTTTATAATCACACATGCTTATCTCTTAGTCTCCTTTCTTCTTAATGATTCTTACAAATGTAGCCTGTTTTAACCACCATGAACTACAGAGAAGTTTTGAGGCCTTTGCACCCATTGACCCTCCTAACTAGAAAACCCTCCCTGTCATATCCCTGCCTTTAACATAACTGATTTTGAATCAATTTAAAGAATTCATTCCAGATGTTAGTTCCTCCAGGATACCTTCTATCCTACCCACTTGATGTTCCCATAGAAACTGATTGTCACCAAAGTGGGTGTTTACTTTTAGCTTCCCCCAAAGGTCAGTAAGTATTTGTTGCAAAAATATGGAAAAATTCAAGTCATTTTGCTGCACAACTGGTTCGATTATAGTATATATATATGCAGATCCAAGATAACTAACAATGAATGAAGCTGCTCAGCTTTGCATCCTACATTCAAATATTAGGACATACATACACCCAGATCATTTCAACTTATGCTATTAAGGGTTGAGAGGGACCCTGATATCATCAAATGCAAGGTCTTTAAATATAAAAATACATAGGTTTATATTTCTAGAACACCAAGACTTGAGTTTGCTAGGAGATGTCTAGTTTTATTAATATAAAAGTCAACCTTTATTGTTCCAGAATCACCCAGTGACATAACTGAAAGCTGATCAACTGCTTCTCACAGCAGTTAGGAACTACCTGGTTAACAGAGGGTAGAGAATCATCCAGCTCTGACACACTTCATGTTATCCAAAACTAAACAAGTGTGATAACTAGAAGCAAACTCAATCAAAAGAAATACCACTTTCTCAATGACTAACATGAAACCAGTTATCTAACAAAAACAAAAAAAAATATCTTCAAGCTTAAAAATAAGCTTTATTTTTAAACAAAACAATTAGAACCCATTAGAGGTGACTCAAAACTTCGAAGTTCATAATGTTAAAGCTTAATTCTGTGATACACAGTTGGCATCAAGATAAAGTATTTTTCCAATTTACAACAATCCCTTGGATAAGAAATCTAAGGTTCATCTCTCAAACACAATATCTAAGCTTTGGTTTTGATTGTGATACATGGGGAAGAAGGCTATGTGTGAATATTCTCTGCTTGCCCTTATGGTTCATAGGTAACAATTCTAGTAAGCACATTTTTAAAACTTTTAAATGTTTTTTTATTTATTTCTGAGAGAAAGAGAAAGAGAGAGAGAGAGAGTGAGCAGGGGAGGGTCAGAGAGGGAGACACAGAATTGGAAGCAGTCTCCAGGGTCTAAACTAGCTGTCAGCACAGAGCCCAATGCAGGGCCCGAACCCACAAACCGTGAGATCATGACCTGAGCCAAAGTCGGACGCCTAACTGACTGAGCCACCCAGGTGCCTCCAGTAAGCACACTTTTAATTAATCTTGCCAGTAGCAGAAGCCATAATCCACAAAGACTCACCTTTCCTGCCAAGCTGCTATTCTGTATTCTGTATGGCTGAGTGCAGTTGCTACTGGATGTTCCACCCAGACTCTCTCTTCTGATTAAAGCATTCTTCCCTCAACTGTCAGAGATACCATTTGCTGACAGTTTACAGTTGTGTCTCTTGGCCACAAGGAACTACCTCACTTAAGGTTAAGGTCCCTCCATGGGAAAGCCAACAGTCAACAACCAATTCATACAGAGGAACAAAGGCTTCTCTGCTTCAATTTGGAACAACTCTGAAGGGACATCCCAGCTCCAGATCTCCCTACAGGTTCCACTGATACCTCATTTGCATTGTATACCAGCTTCTTGCTCTTCCCAATCCTCTTTCTCATTTCCTTTCACGTGCATTTCTGGAGACCAGTTCTCAAAAAACCTTTCACATGCAACTCTGCATCTCAGAATCTATTTCCAAAGCAACCTAATCTAAGACTCATCAATACTTGCATAATGCAAAAACAGCAGTATACAGTAGTTTTGCTAACTT